CCAGAGTTATAAAACTCAGTCTGTCTTGCTATTTACCCACAGCTGGGGGGAGAAGAAGAGGATTCTTACTTTTCATAAGGGTAATAGCACTTAAGTGAATGTTAAGGATTCGACTGGAATTCGAACTCAGCTCTCCGATACCTCAATCCTTGCCACTATCCATTAATACTCCATTTAGGTAAATATATATTAAAAATAAAAAAAGCATGTGTAAATATTGGTTGCTAAATGCAGATCATAGAAGCCCCAATCGTGGGAAATAAATTTCTGAATCTTCCCAGGGAGTAGGTTCGAATTGACTTTCCATCTCAGGTGGCATTTCTTCCTTTTTCTTCAGGAAGCAGAGCCGGCTTCGAATGTTGGATCAGTGACTTTGACATTCAGTTGGGGCACATATATGCTGCCAGCGATCCGGTGGGGAAGTCACGTATTTCTCACAGATACCAGTGCCAATGTCAGTGTTCGAGCTGAGCTCAGATCAGTACATTTAGGCCCTCCCCATTTGAGAAAGACAGACAGAAATAGAAAAAGACTATTCATTTCCTATAAATACTCCGTGACAAACTCCGCTGTATCTGACGTATCTCCCCACGATGCATTTACCACACACTGAACATACACAGAACACACACACTCTACTAAGCTGATAATTGAATCATCCTTGATAATGGCTAAAGGTATAGCCGAAAGCGCTCGGAAACACAGAACATTCGGACAGTTCTTACACACTCTTTGTCCAGAAAAGAAAGCTCTTGTCAGAACACAAGAAAAATTAAATAAAAAGCTCAACCGTAGTACCTTGTCTGTCGTTTTTAATGAAACATAAAGGAAAGATTGCTGCCTAAATATACAAATAAAGAGAGATAGGGAGATTCGGAGTATAAGGGTGAAAGAGAGAGTGACGAAATATATGAGAAAGAGTTGGAGTAAAAAGAGAGAGGGATAGAGTGAATAAAAGAGAGAGTGTCATGGAGGATAATTTTGTAAAATCCTCTTTTGAACTGCAATGCACACACACACACACACACACACACACACACACACACACACACACACATACATATATATAGATAGATAGAGAGAGAGAGAGAGATAGAGAAAATAGAGAGAGAGTGGAGAGATAAAGAGATAGATAGAGAGAGGTGAGATATAGAAAAATGAGAGAGAGAGATATATAGAGAGAGATATAGAGATAGATGAATAGAAAGAATGAGAGAGATATAGATATATATATATATATAGAGAGAGTGTGTGTGAGAGAGAGAGTGTGTGTGAGAGAGAGAGAGAGGGGGGCGAGGAAGGAAAAGGATTCATTTATAGAAATGTTTTGCTTCCATATAGTTATAGATATTCCAGTAACTTTCGGAATCTACTTTAATATTTGTTTACGAGGTCTAAAAATGCAGAAATTCTTGTGGAAATGGTAACTATTTATCAACATTCAGAACGTCCAACAAAATATATTTGAATATTTACTCTCCACACCAAAGCGTATTTTTATTTATTTATTGTTTTATTGTTTATCGTTCTGTTTCCATTAAACCATGCTTCGCATACCGTTCCTGCCATTTTCTTTCATCAACCTAATTTTCTTTTCATTCTTGTCTAGTTCTTGTTTTTATTTTTCATCTCTTCCATACAGTCTTCGTCCTTTCCATCTCCATTTGCTCTTCTTCAACGTTATCCTCTGTTTCTTTTCATTTTTCATTCGTTCTTGATTTTCCTCTTTTTCTTTGCATCTTATTTTCGCTTCTTTCTCCTCGGCTTCTCGTCATTCTTCTTCTTCTTCTTCTTATTATTATTATTATTATTATTTTTTTTTTTTTTTTCATCTTCCGCCTTCTTCTCCATTTCTAGTTCTCTCCCTCTTTCTTTATTTTTCGCATTATATCACTTACAATCGTTCTTTCTTTTTTTCTTTTTTTTTGTTCTCGTTGCTGTTTTTGTTCTTCCTTTCCTCTTTTTTTCCTTTTCTTCTTTTTCTTTTTCTTCTTCTTAATCTTCTTTTTCTTCTTAATCTTCTTCTTCTTCGATTTCTTCTTCTTTTTCTTCTTCGTTTCCTTCTTTTTTAATCTTCTTTTATTTCACGTACTATCTCCCCCCTCCCTCCGCCCCACAAAATTCATTTCTACATTCTCTATCAGCAATTCTTTTTTCCTCACTTCTTTCCTACAACTTTTAACATCTTCCACCCCCTCGCACTCTCTTTCTCACTCTCTTAATCTCCTTTTCGGAGTTCTACCTCTTCTCATTTGGGACGTATATATATATATATATATATATATATATATATATATATATATATATATATATATATGTATAAATAAAAAAGAAAGAACAGTAAGATATAAAATCCGGTGTTCTTATAGATATTTTATTTTTACAAAATAGTGTTCAATATAAATTTACAGAGCATTAATATTATAAATTAATTGATTTAAAATATGTTTTTTTTTCTACACAGTTCCAACCATGTTTCAAAAATAGAAGCTAAAAACCACGAATTTAATTTTGCAATTAAATTAAAAGCATTAGTTCCATTTCATCTTCAAGCGAATTTTGGAGTAACTTTTAAAATTTACCGGGTTTTAAAAGACACAGCTAAATCACGTTTCCATGGTTACAGAATATTATACTTAAATTGAACAAGGGATGTCTAGATTTTCCTTATGTCAGTATCATTGTATCAGTTATTAGCTACAATTTGGTAAGGGGTAGGGATGTATTTTACAATGAAACCTGACATCAGTTGAATGGATGTCGTCTGTATGTTTTTTTAAAAATTGTTAACGGTAAAAAAATTTCAACGTCACTTTTTAAATTTAAAGATTTTCGGGGTTTTTTTTTTTTTTTTTTTTAATACTTTTTATTTAACTACGATTTGAAATATTTTCCTTTTTAATTTTTATTTTACTATATTCTTTATATATATATCTGTGTGTGTGTGTGTTTGTGTGTGTGTGTGTGAATTACATAAAAATTAAACTCAATTGTACCACATTTATATGCCCATTTCGCTCCTCGCCGCTCTCTCCCTTCCTTTATCTCCCCCTTTCACCTTCATTCTCACCTTCTCTCTCGTCTTTTCTCTTTTCCCCTCTCTCCTTATCTCTTCCTCTCTCCCACTTACATTATTTCTCTTTCTCTCTCTCTCTCTCTATGTTTTGACCTTCTTCTTTTTCGTTAACACGAGGTTTTTCTGTTCAATCTTCTTAACCTCCTCAAGTCAAGGGTCAGTCGTGATCTATCATTATATCTTCATAATTTTAACTTCCTAACATCTCTTACATTAATATCATACATCTCATTCCGTAACCTTCTATATTGAGATGCTTTCGAGCCTTTAATACTAAATTCCACATAATACAACAGGCCCTCAAGGCATGGGGCTTTCCTGAGAGAACATCCGTTCACCCAGCTAACAAAATGTCATCGCTATATCATTTCTACAAACTTACATATTGGTTGAAAAAACATTTTGCCCGGATATACCACAGTCATCCATCCTCTAAATAATTGATTCTAAATAAAAAAAAAATATTGAAAATAAAATCTTATAACTTCTACACATGTTGTTAAGCGAAGAAAAACCTTTATGATCTTATTTATTTAGAGTCCGGGGTATGGCAGCAAGGTTTATGAAAACATTTTTGACACACTGTAAATATGAAGAGAGATAAGAATAAATAGAATAAAGAGAAGGAAAAGATTAGCGAGAAGAAAAAAAAATCAAATGTAAATGAATAAAAATGAAAAGCAAGAAAAAAGAAAGAAGAATAAAGACGAAAAGGAAGAAAGCGTAAAGGAAAAGAAGAAAACAAAAGAAAAAAATCCAAAGACGAATAAAGAAAGAAAAAAAGAAGAAAACGTAAAGGAAAAAAAAGAAGAGAATAGAAAAAGAAACAAATCGAATAAAGAGAGGTAAAAGGAAAAGAGAAGAAAAATAAAATGAAAAAAATAAAGAGAGGTAAAAGGAAATGGGAAGAAAAAGAATCGAAGAATAATAAAAAGAGGAAAAAGAAGACAAATGATAAAGAAACAAAGTCGAATAAAGAGAGGTAAAAGGAAAAGAGAAGAAAAAGAAATGAAACAGAATAAAGAGAGGTAAAAGGAAAGAGAAGAAAAAGAAACGAAGAAGAATAAAGAGAGGAAAAATGAAGACAAAAGAAAAAGAAACAAAGTCGAACAAAGAGAGGTAAAAGGAAAAGAAAACAAAAAGAAATGAAAAAGAATAAAGAGAGGTAAAAGGAAGAAAGAAGAAAACGAAACGAAGAAGAATAAAGAGAGGAAAAAAGAAGGCAAAAGAAAAAGAAACAAAGTGGAATAAAGAGAGGTAAGAGGAAAAGAGAAGAAAAAGAAATGAAAAACAATAAAGAGAGGTAAAAGGAAATGGGAAGAAAAAGAATCGAAGAAGAATAAAGAGAGGAAAAAAGACAAAAGAAAAAGCAACAACGTAGAATAAAGAGAGGTAAGAGGAAAAGCGAAGAAAAAGAAATGAAAAACAATAAAGAGAGGTAAAAGGAAGACAAAAGAAAAAGAAACACAGTGGAATAAAGAGAAAGAAAAGGAAAAGAGAAGAAAAAGAAATGAAAAAAGAATAAAGAGAGGTTAAAGGAAGAGGGAAGAAAAAGAAACGAAGAAGAATAAAAAGAGGAAAAACGGAGACGAAAGAAAAAGAAACAAAGTCAAATAACGAGAGGAGAAAAGAGGAAAACGAAAAGGAAAAAATGAAGACATCAGATAAAGAAACAAAGACAAAATAAAAATAAAAAGGAAATTAAATAAAATATCAGCCCCAACATGAACGTTTGATATATAGTTCTCCTAGCATCTTGTAAGGAAGCAACGTGGATCAAAGACGAAGGCCAGTTTCGATGAAATTTTAATTGGTTTTTCTTTTCTTGTCATGACCAGAAAGAACCTTGCCTATTAGGCTACGAAAGCTACCCAACACAAGTTAATCAAATTTAGCCATTTTAGTTATACGCTTTGCACCTCTGATGTTGTCTTCGGTTGAGATTTCGTCGGAAGCATTATATCGAGTCGACAGTGTAACGGTCGTAGAATAGCGATACGAGAATTGAGATAAAAAGCAACAGAAATCGGATGAAAGAACTGCTGATTAGAAATATTAATATTTCTCTTGCTCAGAGCCACACGCTTTCCATTAAGCAATATCCTTTTCGTAACGAACTTCAAAGCAATAGATTTTATTTTTCCCCTGTAGGAATTTCTTAGACGAGGGGTTGTCAGTGTTATACAATGAAATCTTTGAAAGAGTCTCGTTTGTGTTGTTATTGTTTTTCATCTTTCTGTTTTTGCCTTTTCCCTTTGTTCGTCATTATCTTCTTTGTTTGACATTTTATTTTTTATTTTTCATCGCCTCACTTATTTTCTTCACCCTTTTTTTAATCTTATTCCTTTCTCTTTTTTCTTTATCTTGTCTTCTATTTTATTTCTTTCTTTATCTAATTCCTTTCCTTTCACTTTTCTTCTTTTCTTTTTTCTTTCTTTCTTTCTTCTTTATCTTATTCTGTTCGCTTCCCTTCCTTTTTCTTTTTTTTTCCTTTTTTTTCTTCATCTTAACTCTTTATATTCTTTTCTGTTTTCTTTTTTTTCTTCTATATCTTTATCTTCTTCGTATTTCAAGTTCTTTTTTCTTCATCGTCTCTCCTTTATTTTATTCTGTTCGCTTCCCTTCTTTTTTTCTTTTTCTTATCTTCTTTTTTCATTTTTCTTCTTTATCGTCTGTCTTTTTGATTCTCCTTCTTTATCCTATTCCTTTCTCTTCTTTTACTCCTTTTTTCTTATTCATCTTATTCCCTTTACGTCTTTTCCTTTTTCTTCTCTTCTTCTTTTTCTAATGCATTTCTTTTCGTTTCCTTTCTCTTCTTTGCATTCTTAATCCTCATATTTTTTTCATCTTTTTCTTCTTCCTTTTTCATTTTCTTTTCTCTTCTTTTATCGTCTTCCTTATTTCTTATTAGTCTTCTCCTACGTTATCTCCTTGGTTTTTTCTTTTCCTTCTTTTTTTCTGTATGCTGTTCTTTTACTTAGTGCTCTTTTTATTTCTTTTTTTTCTTTTACGTTTTCTTCTTTTTTCCTCTCTTTATTAGACTTTGTTTCTTTTTCTATTGTCTTCATTTTTCCCCTCTTTATTTGTCTTTGTTTCTTTATCGATTCTCTTCTATTTCCCTTTACGTTTTCTTCATTTTTTTCCTTTCTTTATTCGTCTTCGGATGTTTTTTTTTCTTGTGTCTTCTTTTTTCCTTTACGCTTTCTTCCTTTTCATCTTTATTCTTCCTTCTTTGTTCTTGTTTTTCCTTTTTATTCTTTTACTTTTGCCTTTTTTTTTCTTCTCGCTAAGCTTTTCCTTCTCTTTGTTCTATTTATTCTTATCTCTCTTCATATTTACAGTGTGTGTCAAAAATGCTTTCATAAACTTTGCTGCCATACCCCGGACTCTAAATAAATAAGATCATAAAGGTTTTTCTTCGCTTAACAACATGTGTAGAAATTATAAGATTTTATTTTCAATATTTTTTTGTTTTTTAATTTAGAATCAATAATTCAGAGGATGGATGACTGTGGTATATCCGGGCAAAATATTTTTTCAACCAATATGTAAGTTTGTAGAAATGATGTAGCGATGACATTTTGTTAGCTGGGTGAACGGATGTTCTCTAAGGAATGCCCTATGCCTTGAGGGTCTTTCGGGCCTTAAACGCAACCCAAACTTCAAGTGGAAATCGTACATACGATACATTGGTAAAGATGCTGGAAAAATGATCAGTTCTTTGTACCACACCAGGAATTACCTGAGTACTATTGCTATCCACGACCTATACAAAAGCGAGATAAGGTGGCAAATACATTATTGGATTTGCCCAGTGATCACTTCCCAGCCTCGATAAAATTCAAAAAGAATTATCAAATGGACAAAGTCCGACAATTACTTTTAAGATATTTACTTTATATTTATACGTTCTTTTTATAGATACAAATATTTAAGTAAATGCTCTGTTTTATAATAAACAGTATTAAACAACATTTACCGGCCTGAATGTCCGAGAAATTTTCACAGAAAATATTCGTCTTCCGACAGGATTCAAACCTTTATCCTATACGGAACCGTCATTTAGCTTGACATGCCTTTACCGATTTGACCATTTTTATTTTAAGCATTTCACCCCCAAGGAAGGCGGGATGCCACTAGTAGGCAAGGGGTTACAGAGAATAGGAGCGAGGGTAAAGAGGCGTGATAGAGGAAAGGATGAAGAGAAGGACATAGAATAAATCAAGCCATCTAGACATGTCAATTGTTATTACATTTGAATAGATGGAGATTATAGCTATCAGGGAAACAAGTAATAGGAAAGGAATTCCACAGGTGGGAGGTGCGAGACATGAAGCTAGGAGTAGAAAGGACGGCTTCATTTAACTGTTTCGACAGTGAAATGATGGGATGAAGATGCCAGCCTAGTCAGTCAGTTGCGTGCCATGCGTAATACGGGCGTAGGCGATCATGTATCTTTCGATACATGACTGACGAGGCAGATTTTTTCCGCAGTAGGTTGCCATTTCTTTCTTCGGTAGACCAATTACCATCCAAGGCTATAGAACCCGGTCTGTCCTGCTATTTACCCATAGCTGCGGGAAGAAGAAGAGGATTCATACCTTTCCCAAGGGTATTAGCACGTCAGTCAGTCAGTTATGTGCCATGCGTGATACAGGCTTAGGCGATCATGTATCTTTCGATACATGACTGACGAGGCAGATTTTTTCCGCAGCAGGTTGCCATTTCTTTCTTCGGTAGACCAGTTGCCATCCAAGGCTATAGAACCCGGTCTGTCCTGATATTTACCAATAGATGTGGGGAGAATGAGAGGGTCCATACCTTTCCTAAAAATTATTAGCACGTAAGTGAATGTAATGAATTCGACTGGTATTCGATCTAGTAAATGCTTAAATTCATGCATTTCCAGCGAAAGCAGCTCGACGGTGCAGTTACCGTGAAAGTATTTGTAGAAAAGACAGAGGGAGGCGACGGCACGTTTGTGAGAGAGCGACTGTAGACTAGATGCCAGATCAAGGCCAAGTGTGTGTGTCTGAAGATCTCTCTCTCGCTCTCTCTCTCCCTCTCTCTCGCTCTCTCTCTCTGTATATATATATATATATATATATATATATATATGTCCGCAAGTATGCAGAAAAATAGGAAGGAACACGTCAGGTAAATAATCCGGAGTTCCTTAGTATTTTTATTTTTATTTTTAAGAAGACATTGCTCCATGGAACCTTGGTCTAGCATCGACGAATCTGTAGATAAGAATTAAACAGTCTGACCACCTAACCAAGATGGCCGGCCCAGCCGTTTCCATAGTAATTAATATTGCAATGGACCATACTTATAAACATGCACAAACCACAAGATAGCTTATTTCTAATTTTTTTCTTGAGGATGAAACGGGACCCAACACCTTGATTCAATTTAATTTTAATAATTATATTGATGGTTTCGGCTCTCGTATTTGAAACATGAGAACTCTTATGTAGCGAAGGAATCATATTTTTTAAAAATATTATGATATATATATATATATATATATATATATATATATATATATATATATACATATGTATCTCTACATTACATTCACTTACGTGCTAATACCCTTGGGAAAGGTATGAATCCTCTTCCTCTCCCTCCAGCTATGGGTAAAATAGCAGGACAGACTGGGTTCTATAGCCTTGGATGGCAACTGGTCTGGGAAAAGGACAACTCTGAATTCAAAAACCTGCGGAGGGTCGTTTGGGAACAGCGGCATTCAGTGCACCAGGTCTCTGCATTCGTCCCTTCAAAAAAGTGTGGATGGTCCTGCACGAGGCCTTCACCACTATAATCAAATCTCATGTGCCGGTGTTGGGCTGTCGGTTTCCTGGAAACTGATCTGCTTGACCCTCATACGTCCAATCTCGACGGGAGAGTCGATTATATATATATACATATATATATATCTCTACATCTCTCATATATATGTATATATGAAGAAAAATATACGGAAAAAACAAACAAAAATCCTTATATGCTATTATGCTGTTTTAATGTTAATATAATGTCAACGTCGGACGTTTCGGTCTAATAAGCCATCATCAGGACATATTCATTAAATATAATTAACATTTTTATTTTTGTTTGTTTTTTCCGGATATTTTTTTGTTCATAATGTCGGATCTATATCCATATATTTGCTTACATATGTATATATATATATACACACACACACACACACACATATATATATATATATATATATATATATGTGTGTGTGTGTGTGTGTATATACATATCTCACTCTCTATATATATATATATATATATATATATATATATGTGTGTGTGTGCGTGTGTGTGTGTGTGTAACAATAAGTTAGGAACCTGATATTTATTTACAGAACTTTCACATAATATATTCGTTCCTTATCAGTTTGTCCGATCTTTTTTCTTCTTCTCTTTTTCTCTAAATTTCCCTCATTTTCATCTTACGCTTTCTACCTTAGTTTCCATCTCTCTTTTCACGTTACTTTATACATTTTCCTTTTTCGTAGGAAATTTAAAAAAAAATACTTCTTTCCTCTTCGAAATTTTATATTTATTTCCTGCATTTGACCCGGCAGTTATTTTATTTTATATTTTTCGATTTTCTTTTTTTTTTTTTATAACTGTTTACCTGCGGCCATTTTTTTTTTTTTTTACATATCCGGTTTAGCTATTTCTTGCCTTTTCTATTTATATATTTTTTTCCTTTATAACTCTTAATCTGTCTTCTCTTTATAAGTCTTAATCTATCTACCCTTTACAACTTTTAATCTTTCTATATTCTCTTCATAACACTTAATCTATCGACCCTTCATAACATTTAATATATCTTCTCTTTTTAAGTCTTACTCTATCTACCTTTTATAACTATTAGTTCATTTTCTCTTTATAACTCTTACTCTATCTACCTTTTATAACTCTTAATTCATCTTCTCTTTATAACTCTTACTCTATCTACCTTTTATAACTATTAATTTATCTTTATAATTCTTACTCTATCTATCCTTCATAACTCGTATCTTTTTATCTTCCCTTCATAACTGTTAATCTATCTTTCATTTATAAGTCTTATTCTATTGTATCGTCCATCGCATTCTGTTGACATCTTGTCCTCCTTTTTCCCTTTATTAATCTTTCTTTTCTTCATTACATTTCGTTCCTTCTCTCTCTCTCTCTCTCTCTCTCTCTCTCTCTCTCTCTATCTATCTATCTATCTATCTATCTATCTCTACCGCGGACTTCCCGCTTTTTCGGCTTCGCACATTAGCAAACAAGTTGGCCTAACGCCAACCAGGTCGTCTGCTTTTGTTTTCTTCATTTTTCTTTCGCAACAAAATTAGTTTATCACTTCTCTTAACGTTTTGCCTTTTGGACTGCCATATTTTTGACTCTCGCGGGACGAATCAGGATTCCTTGTAAACAACGCCAGTGTAACTGGTGTGTGTGTGTTTGTGTGTTTGTGTGTCTATGCGTGTGCGAGTGTGTGTGCGCACGCGCAAATACGTTTGTTCTTTTTGCTTACTTTTCTTCTATTTTTCATTTTCATTCCTGGTGTCATTTGCTTTAGTTTTCTTGTATTGTTTTGTTTTTCTGCACATGACGTCTGTGATAAATTACTGAAGTCTTTACAAAGAAAACCAACATTTTAATGCTTGGATTTCTGCAGTTCTTCAAGAGTTACCGCCATCACTGGCATCTTTCATTATCAACCATAAAATTGATTCTGAATTACTGAGACTCTTTCGGCATTATGCAGATTTTTGGACAACTTTCCTCATCATTGTTGTTTCTATCAATAGTTTTTGGCTACTGGATTCCCACGTTCACAGCAATTTGCATAATTTTATTTCCCAAATATTTTCTAATTGATATACTTCTACCGATTCAATCTACCGCCTTCTCCTTGTACAAACACACACACACACACACACACACACACACATATATATATATATATATATATATATATATATATATATATATATATCATAAATTAATTGATTTAAAATATGTTTTTTTTACACAGTTCTAACCATGTTTCAAAAATGGAAATAAAAAAGCTCGGAATTTAATTTTGTAAATTTTTAATGCTCTGTAAATTTACATTGAGCACTATTTTGTAAAAATAAAAATATCTTCTTTTTTTGTCTGTTTTGCTTACAAAAGTAAAAAAAAAATAAATGGATTTTTGAAGTTCTTCAAGAGTTTCCTCCATCACTTTCATTATCTAATTAATATATATATATATACACGTGTGTGTGTGTGTGTGTGTGTAGCGGCTTGGATTGAAGAATCGGAGAGCCGAGTTCGAATTCCAGTCGAGTCTATTACATTCTCTTACGTGCTAATACACTTGGGAAAAGTTTGAATCCTCTTCCTCTCCCTCCAGCTATGGGTAAAATAGCAGGACAGACTGGGTTCTATAGCCTTGGATGGCAACTGGTCTAGGAGAAGGCCAACTCTGAATTCGAAACCTGCGGAGGATCGTTTGGGGACCTTGTGGCATTCGGTGCACCAGGTCTCTGTATTCGGCCCTTCAAAAAGTGTGGATGGTCCTGCACGAGGCCTTCACCACTATAATCAAATCTCATGTGCTGTTGTCGAGCTGTCGGTTCCCTGGGAACTGATCTGCTTGACTCTCATACGTCGAATCTCGACGGGAGAGTCGAGTATGTAGTAATCATTTCACCCCAAACAAGGTGATAACGCCACTAAGATACAAGGGGCTACTGGAAGTGAAAGAGAAAGAAAAGTCTTTAGAATGAACCAGAAACCCAATCCTAAACAGGGAACAAAGAATAATTTTTTTACTTATGAGATGTGTTCTTATCATTCCAATTGTTGCTCTGATATTGGCCTTTTTTTTATTTTAGTTGCTCTTCATGCTAATACGTTTCCACCGAGACAGTCTACAGCCTTTGACCGTACAAAGATGTATCTTATAAATATGAGATCATTCGATATCACTTCTTGACTTCGTGAGACGATCTAATGTCCATAAAATAAAACGAAATATCTTGAAGTAAGAGAATTCAAGGAAGCTGCATATATTATTCTTGTAACTTAATGCATTCGTCTGTGGAAAGATCAAAGCGATAGGTCTATCTTATGGATTTAAATTTTTAAAAACTATAATGTTGGATAATATTTAAATTGTGCCTTCAAATAGTAGAAAGCGTTAAAAGTTTTTTGGGGGGTTTTTTGTATTGTTTTTTGTTTTTTCTGTTTTTGATTTTTTTTTTTTTTTTTTTAAGCATTACGCCCCGAGCAAGCTGTGAAGCCACTAGGATGCAGGGGGTTGCAGAAGATTTGGAGCGAGAGCAGATAGGAGTGATAGGAGAAAGGATGAGGAGAGGGGTAGTGGATAGATTAAATTAACTGGAGATGTTGATTGACATTACATTTGAATAGTTGGAGATTATAGCTCTCAGGGAAACAGTAATTCGGAAGGATGTTCCACAGACGAGAGGTGCGAGGTAGGAAGCATTGGAGTAGAAGAGACGGTTACATTTAAAAGTTTCTACAGTGTAAGGGTGAGAGCGGGATGCCAGCCTGGTAGGGCGCTTGAACTTATGGAGCCTGGGAACCAGTGAAAGCATCTCATCAGAGCAATTACCATGAAAGTATTTGTAGAAAAGACAGAGAGAGGCGACGGCGCGTCTGTGAGAGAGTGACTGTAGGCGAGATGCCAGATCAGGGCCAATTATATTACATATCCGTCTCTGGATCTTGCCAAGAACTCCGAGGTAAACAGAAGGTGCACCAGACCATATATGGCAGCAAGACTCCATGCAAGTTTCGATTCCGGGGAGAAAAATTTCCTGGCGTGGCACAGAGAGCCAACTTTCCTCGCGGTGGACGATGCAATTGAGTCAATGTATTTGTTCCATCTCAGGTCAGTAGATAACGTGAGACCGAGCAGACGCAGAGAGTTGCTCTCAAGAAGTTGACTATCAGACATTCTAATGGGGGGGGGGGAGGATCACCATCATCAGACATTAAAATTATTCATTCGTTTTCTTTTTTGTTTTTGGTTTTTGTTACTTTTGTTCTTTATTTTTTTTTTTTTTTTTTTTTTTGTAAGCAAATCAGACCAAAAATTTGCTGAAACGTATTCCGTGTTTCAATTTAGACAGCGAGGAACTCCCGTACCCACAAAAACCGGAAAGTCAATAGGATATTTTTATCCCCATGGCATCTCTTTTATTTTACCTACTCTTCAGCAATGTACACTATTTACATTGTTCAGACTATTGTCCTCATCTTTGTTGCCATATCTATTACAACGTTTCGGCCTTTCAGTATCTGTCTATATTTCTGAGATGAGGTATTATGTACACTATTTACATTATTAGGACTATTCTCCTCATCTTTGTCGCCATATTTATCACAACGTTTCGGCCTTTCAGTATCTGTCTATATTTCTGAGATGAGGTATTATGTACACTATTTAAATTATTAGGACTATTCTCCTCATCTTTGTCGCCATATTTATCACAACGTTTCGGCCTTTCAGTATCTGTCTATATTTCTGAGATGAGGTATTATGTACACTATTTACATTATTCGGACTATTCTCCTCATCTTTCTTGCCATATCTATTACAACGTTTCGGCCTTTCAGTATCTGTCTATATTTCTGAGATGAGGTATTATGTACACTATTTACATTATTCGGACTATTGTCCTCATCTTTCTCGCCATATCTATTACAACGTTTCGGCCTTTCAGTATCTGTCTATATTTCTGAGATGAGGTATTATGTACACTATTTACATTATTCGGACTATTGTCCTCATCTTTCTCGCCATATCTATTACAACGTTTCGGCCTTTCAGTATCTGTCTATATTTCTGAGATGAGGTATCATGTACACTCTTTACATTATTCGGACTATTATCCTCATCTTTGTTGCCATATTTATTACAACGTTTCGGCCTTTCAATATCTGTCTATATCTCTGAGATGAGGTATTATGTACACTATTTACATTATTCGGACTATTGTCCTCATCTTTGTTGCCATATTTAATACAACGCTCCAGCCTTCTTCAAACGGAATCCTTTATTTCGCTCATTGGGGTAGGCTGTTCTAGTTCCACGTGCCATGTTTAATGGATGTCATCCGTTATCTCCTGTTAATTCCCCTCTGCAAGTTCTTCACTGCCTTAACTGGGTATTGAACTCCTACTGTTTGGGTCCTGTCACTGGATCAAACCAGCGCCTTTATCCACTGTGCCATGGCTCCTGAGGACATCTGGGTATTAAAAACCTAATGTCTTCAGCAACCATTTTTACCATTGCTTATATTGCAATTTTGCCCAGTGACAGGACCCAAAGAGTGTGAGTTCAATACCCGGTTAAGGCAGTGGAGAACTTTCAGAGGGAAAATTAACAGGAGATAACTGATAACTGACATCCATTAGACATAGTATGTGGAACTAGGACATTCTACCCCAGTGAGCGAAATAAAGGGTTCAGTTCGACATTCCAACCACCTGAAGAAGGCCGGAGCGTACAACGGCCGAAACGTTGTAATAAATATGGCGACAAAGATGAGGACAATAGTCGGAATAATGTAAATAATGTACATAATACCTCATCTTAGAAATATAGACAGATTCTTCAGCAATGTTTCTTTATCTTTTATGTACCGAGTCCCTTCTAGGCCACCATGGCTCTCGACTTCCTCCTATCCCTTGTATATATCAATAAGTCTTTTTTTTCTTTTTGCTATTTCTCCCAGACCCTTAAGTATCTCCTACGTTGTTTTCACTTGTCCCTATTTCCCTCTATCCGCCCTGTGAGTATCAGATTCTCCAAGCCCTTCTTTCTCATTATGTGTTCCAGAAATTTCAGCTGCCTCTGATGTTAAGTATAAGTTTCCTCTTTATTTGCATCTTCTTCAAAATCTCATCGTTGCTCACATGTTAGGTCCATGGTATCCTTAGCATCCTTCTGTAGAACCATACCTCGAATCTCTTATTCATCTTTGAGGAGACTGTTCAATATTCGCTGCTGTAAATGAGGACACCTGACACGTTGCAGCTCAGTATTTTTTTCTTTGTTGCCAAAGAAATCCTCCTGACTCGTTATACTCTGCCTAGCTGTTTGAATGCGTCTTTGGCTATCCCATATCAGCGTCAGACTTACCATCCGCTGTCAGAACACTTCCCAGAAATTTAAATTTCCGCACCTGCTTCATTTTTGTGTCCCCGACCTGTAAACCGTATTTCGGGCTCATCCTTTTACTGATGACCATTCATTGTCTTCGTGTAGCTTATGCTTAGTCCCTTCTTCAGGCTCTCCTTCGCTACCCTCTTTAGGAGGATTTTAGTGTCCTTTCTGTGCCTGCTATTAATAGTCTTTCTCGCTCTCCTTCGCTACATTCTTTATGAGGATTTTAGTATCCTTTCTGGGTCTGTGCATCTTAGGTTGTTAAGATTGTGGCGCCAACATTGTTTATCCTTTTCAAAGCGATGGTTAATGAAAGCAATGTAGCTTTTGTAGTCTGTCAATGCAGAAAAATAAGGTTCGGCCAACTGTTTTCCTACTGCAGTACTCCATTATTGGTCGGATCAGGTTCTTGTAAATTTCTTGTGCATGCCAGAAGGGGCCATGTCGTTTCTGGATTGGTAAAAGGAATCAAACATCTTTCCAGAATGTGCTCTCAGGCAATCTCACATAAACCAGTCTCCTTATCAATTAACCGATGATGACTCAAGATCATTATGTAGCAAACATTTCCAGATTTACGACATTTTCGAATGACTGGAGTTCGTCCAGACCGTGGCCGATCTTCAAGTGGCATTTCCCAACATTCTAGGCCCAAATACCTGGTCGTACACTTGTGTTTGACCTAAAGATTCTTTCTTAGAAGCCTCTGGAAACATTGCCACCTATTCGGCAGTTGTTTTCCCCCAAAAGAAAACAAAATTTCACAAACACGCGCTGTTCTTTTTTATCGGCCATCACGAAAATTGCCAAACGTGCTTGAAAACACCAGGGGAAAAAATTCTGCGGGAAACAAATCAATCAATTTCGCACCATGTCATGGTTCTTCTCAAAGATATTCGCAAAATGATTATCTTATTTGGTGTATTTTTAAATTGAATTATCTCAGACTTTTCGCTGGAAACAGGTAGACATTGTACAATCTTCATGTTTCTTCTAGCTATAATTATTATTATTTTTATATATCATAGTGTGTTCATATCCTCTCTACCTACATATCTATCTATCTATTACAGTGGGTTCATATAGTATCCTATCTATCTATCTATCTATCTATCTATCTATCTATCTATCCGCATCACTGTCTATCACTCACATATCATAACTCCCTAACTGATATTCTATCTATCTATCTATCTATCTATCTATCTATCTATCTATCTATCTATCTATCTATCTATCCGTATAACTGTCTATCTCTCACATATAATAACTACCTAACTGAGTATTTTATATTTATCAATCAATCTATCTACCATACTCACTTCAGATCTGTATATTTATCTATTTCAGTATCTTCATATCCTCTCTACCTATATATCTATCTATCTATTACAGTGGGTTCATATAGTATCCTATCTATCTATCTATCTATCTATCTATCTATCTATCTATCTATCCGTATCACTATCATTCACATATCCTAACTCCTTAACTGAGATTTTTTTTATATCTATCTATCTATCTCAATCTGTTCATATCTATCTATCTATCTATCTATATATATATATATATATATATATATATATATATATATATATATATATATATATATCTATTTATCTATTACATTGTCACTATTCTATCTATTTATCTATTTTACATTGTGGACATATTCTATCTACCTATTATCTTTTATCTATTTATTACATTGTGGACATAACTGTCAATCTATCTACCTATCTGAGTCTTTTATGATATCTATCTATCTAATTATCTATCTATCTATCTATCTATCTATCTATCTATCTATCTATCTATCTATCTGTGTGTGTGTGTGTGTGAGTGTCTGTGTCTATATGTCTATCTAGCACAGTGTGTTCATATCTTATATATTTATTTATCTACCTACGTACGAACCTATATATCTGAGTTTTTATGATATATATGTCTGTGTGCATATATATCTATCTGTCTGCATGTCTATCTATGTATTTAAACATGCTAATGCTTTTCTAAACAACTTAGATACGGCACGAGGCCGAAGGAGTGGAGCACCCAATGTGGAGCGAAATTACTACCCGGTAGTAATTGATCTAGCAAGAAAGTGCCCGAAAATTATTTTCTTAACGTAGATTAGCTGTGGCACCCAGTGAGCGCGAACTCAGTACTCAGTCGTAATATATCTTTCAAGTCAGTTGCCCTCAAATGAGATTCTATGTGTTGATT